AGCCAGTAGGTATATTTATTTTATACACTTGCATTCAGTTTTAAAATATCAATTATTTTTCCTTCATAACCTAGTAAAAAAGACATATTTCCAAAATTTAAATTCGGTTATGGGAAGTAACTAAATAAATCTTTCTCTTATAGCTATTTTCTATTAATTTTAAAAACGGAAAAATGTCAAAAATTCAATTTGTGGGCTGTATGCCATAAGCGCCAAAAGTAGGTACAAAAATGACGTATCATTTGCGCCAAAATTAATATTTTATATAAGTAGTTATTTAAAAACGGCGATCTTATAATAAATTGTTAAAATATAATATATAATATAGTGTTTTATATTTCATATTTGTTGTATATAAAATATATATTAAATAATATAGAACACTGAATTAATTATAATTTTTTATTTATTAGCCATTAACACTGGCAATTGTGTTACTGGTACTAACTATAAAAAAAGTAACTACTAGCACACACACACACACACACACACACACACACACACACAGTCATGTCACTCTTGTTGACATTTTCTGACAACAGTGCTACCACATAATATGACATATAGTTCGAAATTTAATATCTGTTATATCACAGAACAATATTAAATAGTTATATTTAATATCTATTAAGAGGACGTCGCACCCACATAATATGTTATATTACATTAATATTATTATGTTGTCTCCGTCTTACACGCGTACGACATAGCAAATTTTACTCTCAGCAGATCACGCTTAACTTCGTTAATTTTAAAATTATAGTGAATTGACCTCTTATAAAATTTAAAGGTAAGAATATTATCTAGAGAAAACCATCGGCTTTTTGTTATATTTAAATTTTACATTGAGTTATGAGTATTTTAAAATTGTAATTTGTTTATACATATTTTAATACTCATAACCCAATTTAAAATTAAAATAAAACAATAAGCCGATGAGATTCCCTAGATAATATACTTACCTTAACATTTTATAAGAGGTCAATTCACTTTAATTTTAAAATTAACGGGGCTAAGCGTGATCTGCTGAGTGTACAATTTGCTATATGTCGTACGGAGACAACATATGCGGGTGCGGCGTCCTTCTTAACCGTGGCACCCTGATATCTACGATTTTATCGCTTTGGTACAATACAACTTTTATGTGAGACTGTTCTTAAAATCGTAGATGACACTAATACTAATGTTCACTCACTACTCACATAATGACACCGTTCAAATATACATGTAATATAAACTGCCTAAATATTACTCCTTAAAATATGCTATGCTCCAACCCCCTTAAAAGAAAATATTTTAAACTTAAAATACTTATATAATTTTATGTATATTTGAAATAAATTAATAATTTTTCACCTGAAACCTTTAGGTGTTGCACATTATTACAGTTGGCACCCAACGGCAAGGCTCCATAGAGAAGGAAATTCTACATTATTAAAACAAAAAATGTCTCCAAAAAAGAAGACGAAAGTACTGGGAGAAGAAGGACGTTCTGTTGGTTCTCAAGAAAGTAACGGGAATCATCGTCAAAACAATAACAATGGTATAGACGGCCAATCACCAAAAAATAATAGGTGGAACGATAGGCAAAATAACCAACACCCACCCCTGAATAGTAATCAACAAATTAATCAAGTCGTCACCACAGCCAAGAATGATCACAGTGACAACATACCACCGACAATCAACAAAATAGAAAGTAATAAAACGTCATACTGTCCATACATTCGTTGTACCATAGAAGGAGAAGAAATAGAGGTATTAGTGGACACCGGAGCCACGATAAGCGTTCTTACAAAAGAAATTGTGGATATAGTCACTAAGAAAGACCCGACTATTCCAAAATTTCCATTAACAGGAGTCAAAATCAGTAATGCCGTAGGAATAGAAATTGTCAAGACATCAACACAAATATTTTGCAGATGTCAGTTTGGGGAGGCAACAATCTTCACCAACTTCGTTCAAGTGGAAGGACTAAATGAACGTGGAATCATCGGGGCAGATATACTAAAGCAATATAAAGCTCTAATTGATTTTAAAAACCGCACTGTACAAATTCGAATCAATGAACATTCATACTCATTACCATTTTCAAGGAAACTCCCCCTCGAACAAACATTGTTAGAGGAAATCCTACAAGACGGAACGGTGACGGAAGATGATGACGAACAAGAAAACAGCCAAGTAGCAATCAGTTCTGAAGAAGGAGAAAAATATGAGATGGACAACAGCGGACCAACAACGGAACCAACCACTTCATCGACCCCTACAGGACATGTAATGACGGACCTTTTCGAAAGTCGGCGGCAGAGAAAGAAACGGATTTGGTATGAGAAGAAGAAGAACAACAAACGTAACCGACGCTAAAATGAGATTATAGAAAGAAGACACCATGTACATTCTTACTGGGATACTCTAATAATATACTTGAGCCCTGTTTTTAATTCATCAATTTTTTTTATTTTGTTACATATTTAGGTACTTCCTTAATTCGTTGATCATATTGATATATTATTATTTATTTATATGAACAAAATGAAATTAATTTAATAAAACTATAAAGGTAAACTGAGCAAACTAATATTATATTTTTTGAAACATGTCTCGAATTCGTCTGCATTTGTTAATAACATCAAGTTGTTTTTTGTCTTATAACAAAGTTGGTTTACGAGTTTTATATCCATTTAACTTTTTTTTTTTGCTGGTCATAATTAAAATAACATAATAAATAATCAACAGCGCTGAGTAGTGAAAGAAAAATTATTAATCACTAATCACAGATTTCACAAATGCTGTGGCTCGAGTTTGTACCTACTTTCGTAGTAGGCACGTTGCACGCATTATTAAAATACGCCATATTATTATAAATAACTTATGTCTATTGAATATATTTTGAATCACAACAAATTTGGGAAAAGTATTAAGGAACTGTCATTAGGTATATTAATAATTCACGAACGCTGATAGCTATATTGCTATAAATACATGTACATAAATAATTTTTTTTTTGTTATAACCTCTAGCGACGGCGCCGCCCTTTGAGGACTCAGAATTGTTGCCAATTGCAATTGCCCCCCTAAATACGCCACTGATAACTACTACAGGTGTTCATACTGTATACTAGTAAATAGTATACTATTTGTTTTATACACAGTCACTCACACTGATAGTCACTTACTATATACCCGCATATTTACACGACCTGTATGCACATTGCACTCAAATAGAAAATTGCCTATATTGAACTCCTTAAACGGTCGGTAATCATGGCCCTTAATTGGTATCTAATGAGAACTACCTAATATTAGTTCAGTGTTAAAATTTTTGGGAAGTATGTATTTATTAGGGCACAATTATTACCTATTGCCCTAAGTTCACAATGTGTCAATATATGGGGATTGATATTGATATACATACCCATATACATACTTTTATAGTCAATTCTTTTTTTTTTGTTTTTTAAAATGTACCTATATAATTATGCCTGTGCCTCTTACCAATTTTTTTTTAGCTCGGAGAACAGAGCAATGCATTTATTGATTTAAAATTATGTGTTTTTTTTCTGTCTGTTATCAAATTTTGGAGCAGTAAAAATGCTTTCTGGTAGGAAAGTGAATGTAGTTGGTACGTTGAGGGGGAAAGGGTAAAAATAAATGTTATTTTTTGAGTAAATACATAGCGACTCTTCTTATTACAGCAACAAAATATATTCAAACACTTCGAACTACAATAAACTTGGATATTTTAACGAAAAACAATAAGAATGAGATAGTTAAATAATATTGTTCGTAGGAACTAGAAGTTTTTGTTTTGTAAAATGTGAAGCTGCAATAATAATATACATTTAAATCTCTTTTATCAGCGATTTTAGGTATTTATTTTAATTTGTATTATAAGATACACACAAATACACAATACGTCAATACCCTCATCAATCGGTATCTTCAATAATATTATGCTTACAATCGTGTGGAAATGGTATACACGTAGTACCTAAATTTTAACATACTATAATATTAGACTTTATGACATGTGACAACATTTAATGAGCGAGTGCATCTTATGGGGTTTTGGACATTCATTACTGAGTACTGCAGACTATAAGCTACAACTGGAGAATAAAACGTTGATAGTTGATGATTTGTTTTTAATTGTAGATCATCGAAATGACAAGTTCTTAGATAAAATATAATAGCCACCTAGCAGACAGCAGTAATCCTCTGTGGTAGGTAATCGTAATTTACAAAAATATTTTTAAGAAAAAAAAAACATTGAAAATATTTTACTGAATGTATTTATTATTTACACGTTTGTTTAAAAAATTGAATACAACAGAGGTAACTAATTTTTTATAAATCATATTATTATAATTAACATACGTAAAACATATTGTATATAAAATTTTAAATGTATAATAATATATATACCATGACAATATTAATTCAGTGATGTGATGGCAATAATTGACATAATACTTGGTTTTACGCACAAGTGATTCAAGTTTAGTTTACTTGAGTTGTAATATTACATTCTAGTATATTATTATTATGTAGTTAGACATTATTACTCTCTATAAAAATCAATAATAGGAAGTTAATTTATTACACCATGATACGCGTAATAGGTATATATATATATATAGTAACTATTAATAATTCAATTAATTATTAAATATACACGTTAAATTATATTGTATTATATTATATATTAATGTACTTAAAATAATTTTTGAAGATAGAAAAATATAATGGCAACTAAGTTTTTGAGAGATTATAAAATATAATTCTCGTTAAAATTAAGTACAACTGCTGCATAATGCATGTACGAGTATATTGTTATGTACACTGTAGTATAAATATATCCTATTTTCAAAAACAGGTAAAATCCAGTATTTACCTCTCCGAAATAAACGATAAATTTAACTAAATAATAGTATAATATATAATATATACATATTATATTTATATATTGATACCTTGTTATTATTTTAGAAACTTAAACTATTTTCCAGAGTAATGTGATCCAATGTTGGACGGGGGTCCTCTCATGTGTGGCTGGTGTTTGGCGGTGCCCGAATACCGACTACCTGGTCGCGAGTGCACAATAGCATAATGGTCGCTGTTGGTCGACATGGACCGAGTCGAATTCATCGTAGAGCCACCAGATACGTATCCTGGCTTACCGTTTAATGAATACCTATAAAATCCAACGAAAAAACAATCAATGGTCAATATTAGGTATTAGTTATTTTCATAATATTATGCTTAAAACCGCAGCTGACGATCACTAAAATAATATTCACATAATCAAATCGCACATCAATATGTTGGGTATTGGTTATTTTCGTATTCAGCTTTGTACCTATGCTGATCATTTTATAACTATAATATTTTGTCTGTTTTAATATTGCTTATATAGAAATATAATCGATTAAATCGCGTGTCAATATTTTAAGTATTAGTCATTTTCTTATTCTGTTCAATACTGCAGCTGATGATTTTATAACTATAATATTTTGTCTGTTTTAATATTGCTTATATAGAAATATAATCGATTAAATCGCGTGTCAATATTTTAAGTATTAGTCATTTTCTTATTCTGTTCAATACTGCATCTGATGGTTTTATAACGATATTATGTCTATTTTAATGTTGCTTGTAGAAAAATGTAATCGATTGTCGTATTCACGGAGGCATGCGACCTGGGAGGATGCAGCTGCCTCCGCTGAGAAATTTACTGCTACGTACTATACGCATAATATTACTTTCAAGTATTTCTTAAGGACACCATATAATGTCGTGTAATAACAATACTATGTAGATTATTGATTTCGTAACGTAAAGGAATTGAGGTTTGGAGGGAATAATCTCATCCCCAAAAACCCCTCGATCTCCTCTCATATATACTGACTCTACAGCCACTAAAACCTACGCACTCCTATGCGTGTATTCAGTGTTTCGGTATAACCCACCTACGTGGTAGGGTACTATGACTATATACGTTGTATATTATTAAAACGTATCTATGACCTGAGTGGGTAGTAGAAAATCGGAATGCCCTTCGTTTTTACCGAGTGACGTGCTACCTACGACCACTAGCATTGTCTTGGTAGTTAGGTACTCGCGAAATACCAACCATCAAGCTGGTCCATCTGCAGTCATCGTCGACGACCGGCAGACAAAAATAAACTCAGTGGCGTATTCACAGAGATTCTATCTGGCCCTGCTCAATTGAATGTGGTGGGGGGACGCTATACGGAAGTAACTTAAAGTGAAGTGCAATGAAACAGAAATTGTGGCCCGTCCAACTGCGGAACCAAGTTTTTTGTCTTGTTTTTATTTCGTTAAAAATACACCTCAGGGTAGTATCAGGGTAGTAGTTATATTACACACAGGCAGCATACAGTGATTCACCAAGCATGCTTTCCCCGTTTTTCTTCTTAAATAATGCAGTAATCAAAAAATCTGAGATTTGGGATTTTTGAACATACGTACTCAAAATCCATATTTTTAAATTATTGAGATTTTTTTGTTCTGCTTGATTATTTTTCTGTAGAGATAGAAACTTCTATTTTTCAAATGACAAAACCCCTTTCCTATTATGAATTATTTAACGGATGATTTTTCTGAAAATTTTGACGATGGAAAGGGGAAAACGTTAAATTTTTACCACTGTGCTCGCGGATGGTGATCTGAGGGTTTATAACATCAAACATTTTTTATCGTCGAAAGTCGTTACGGTTATAATTTACGCTATTAATATAAAAATATAATATTGTAATCGTATTCAGAGTGATTTTTTAAGCAGCTCACCCTCATATTTATATTTAAATTCTCTTTTTTATCTATTCAATTTCTGAATTTTAGAATTTTTAATTACACCTAAAAGCCATATTTTAAAATCCTGATATTTTTTGTACTATTTAAGGAGTGTTTTGTGACGATACAAACTTTTATTTTTCATATGAGAACCCCCCTTTTTTAGTGAAAATTATTTAGTGGATGATTTATTTAAAAATGTTAATGTACCTACATCTAAAACTATATAAATCGAAATCTACTTCTCCCAAAAAAAATATTTAATAAATAATTAATAGAGGGGTTCCTATTTGAAGAACAGAAGTTTGTACTGTCTCAGGATGATCCTTAAAGGAGCACACAACACAAAAAATAAGTTTTTTTATTTGAAAGAATGTTCAATTCTAAGGATAATGGTATAGGTTTTACGTTTCTACTCACATTATTCAATAAGTTATGAGCAATTGAAAAAAGACGTGTGACGTCACTGGGCCGGAGTCATCGTAATTGCCTATCTTATACGTGTAAAAGTTCCTTGCTTCACACAACGATTTATCAACCTAAACATTTTCTTTTGAAAATTTAATTGACGTATAAATGTGTGGTTTTATGTGTTTAAGACGATGCAAGAATCAGAATTTCAATACGATGTTTAGTTTTTTAAATATTAAAAATCTTAAAACAGACATTTTTAATACTTAAAAAACTAAACGTCATATTGAAATTCTGATTCTTGCATCGTCTTAAACACATAAAACCACACATTTATACGTCAATTAAATTTTCAAAAGAAAATGTTTAGGTTGATAAATCGTTGTGTGAAGCAAGGAACTTTTACACGTATAAGATAGGCAATTACGATGACTCCGGCCCAGTGACGTCACGCGGCTATTCTACATCTCTTAATATCTCTTAAAGTAATATTTTTTTTTACATCGTATCTTCACAAAATCATTTCAAATGACCATAACTACAATAATTTAACATTTAAAAAAAATGTAAAGAATTTTTTTATTTGTGTTGTGTGCTCCTTTAAGTGGTACGAAAATTTCAAAAATCTCAAATTTTCAAAAATATGGTCTTCAATTGTATTTAAAATTTTCAAAAATCAGAATTTGTCAGTTAAAGCATATAAGCATATAGGTTATCGCGCCCGAAATATCACTCTGTATATACGAAGCGGGTCGTGTCATCTCGGCTTACCTAGATCCGTACTGCGAACCGTGCCAACTACGGTACGGGTCGTAGTCTTCGATGATGCTGGGCTCCTTTTCAATGATGTCGGTGCGGGCGCACGAGCACGTCATCGCCGAGCACAGGAACACGTTGATGACGAGCATGATGAGGAACATGAGCCCGAACGCTATGCACAGGTATAGCAGCCACGGCGGCCGGATGCCCCCGTCGGCCGGGTCGTCGCATAGCGTCAGGCTCCGGGCCGTCTCGCCGGGCTCGAGCACGAACACCGTCGTGCTGGCCGTCAGCGTGCCGTTTTCCGCCGGCGAGTCCACCGCGAACTCGTACCTGATCTGCTGCTGCTGCTGCAACTGCACCGCGGACACGCCGTCGCAATCGGGTTCCGCGCACGCGCCCCGACACACCTCGATGTCGCACTGGAAGTACAGTTCCGGGCTGTCCGGGAACCGGAACATCGAAGCCAGGGCCGCGTCCGCGTACCCCGACTTTGGATCGTACTTGAACGGCGTGATGACCTTCGTGTTGGCCGGACAACTGCAGCGTACAACAAAAATTATTATTAACGGGTGCATCATTATAATATACCGTTTGAAAAATACAAAACAATCAATTCGATTCTCCCCCCCCCCCCCCCGGTGGAAAAATAGAAAATATTTTATCCGAAGCGATAGTTGTCAAAGTCTCGACGACATTGCTATTTGGGACACGGGAAATGCAGACGCATTCTAAGTACGCATTTTGTACATTGTCAAGTACCTACAACCAGTGGCGTGGTGAATGGGGTTTTATGACGCCTAGGCGTCATGGTGAATTTTTTTTTTTTGGGGTGGGGTGGTTGGGTACATTATGGTAACCAATAACATAAAACAAAAATTAAAATATTTACAGTTCCATAATAATTATATGTATTATATATTATATTAAGGGGATAAAGAAGGGGTAGGTACTGAAATATATGCTGGGCATCAAGGTTTATAAATGTTCACCACGCCACTGCCTACAACAATCAAATCGGCTACTATCCAATGAAAATCGGCTAGAAGCTGCGGCTAACTATCTATTATTAAACAAAAAAACTAATGGATTTTACACGACGCGAAAATGTTTCCGGTTTGATATCGTCAACCATTATTAACTATTTAATCGTTGACAATATACGAGTCCGTCGGTTTTGAGAAGAAACATAATATTACATTGCAGCACTCTCTCAGACCATCGCGGTTATTGACAAATCGAAATAATAGCCAAGTATAAAAGAAAATCCCATCGAACGCCATCTTCTTAGAAACGCTCGAGCAGACGTACGTAAGCGAGTTAAAAAACAATCACGGTTTAAACCACTAATTTCAGTGTCTTTGGAAGTTGTAACTAGAAAAACCACATAATTGTGTTACACGCGGTATACTGCGGGAGATCTTTTGTAGCCGACAATGTGCAGTATCGTCAGGGTTCACTTACCCGAGCTCATTGATGAGGTTGACGCTGTTGTTCCTCTTGTTGAACGCAAAACAGTTCTTAACGCGTATTCCATAGGCACCTGTTGTTTGGAACATGAAAAAAAAAATATTTATATTTAATCTCTTATGGTTGCGGATATTGTTTACACCAGTAAATACACAATGTGATAGACGCATAATACCTAGGTTTGAGCAAATATGGTTTTTATTTTTTTTTTAAACCATTTATGTTTAATACGGCGTGGTTCTACTTCGTTGAATTAAGCAAAATTTTGAAATATTAATAAACTATAATATGTGTAGGTACTTATTATTTAATAAACCACAAATTGAGAGTAAATATTGAATTCGAATATTATTGAAGCGTGTAATTTGTTACATAAATACTTTCACACGGTGTTAAAAAATGTTGACTGTTTGTTTTTACTTTATAATATAATGAAATATTTATTATTCGATTTGATTTGAACAGTGTATACAAATCGTTTTTTCGGAAATCCTCCTTAGTACTGGAGACGTGAAGTCGTGAAAGTAGTTAGGTACTTACCAAAAAAGCAACAACAATAAATGTATCGTTTTATCACATAATATTGTATATTAAAACGTATAATGAGTCATCATGAATGTACCTATTATGATCATATGACTTAAGGTTTTATCATAAGTCATGATATTAATATATTATAATTATTATTATTTTAATTATTAATTGTATACGTTTTGGGGACAAAATTCCTCAAAAATGTGTTTAAGCCCAAACTTATTACATGGAAATTTTTTAATTTACCTAGGTATTCGCTAATAAGTTATTTAAAGTTTCAATATTATTAAAGTATAATTTTATATTACCATCGTGTCTTGATATCTCAGCCCTTAGTGTGTAAGGATGGCTGTAAACAACTTCCTGAATTCTTTTGCCGTTATCCAGGAATTTTAATGATACCAACGACGTTTCGTTTCTGAAAAATAATGTAATGTTTTAATCTTGTTGAATTTTTTTTTTTTTTCAACAATTGTAGAATTTAATCGGCAAGCTCAAGTCTATAGACATTATTTACTTGGAATTCTTGAATCCTGATTTGCCACATGTGATGACGTAATACTTATCGTCCGCAAGTTCTAGAGTTCTATGTATCCTTATAGCAATCGGTACTGATCTTTCTTCAGTTTTCTGTAAAATAATATAAAATTATATTATAATATTAGTATTTACATTCACAGGCTTCTATACTACACTATTTAAGGAACTCCTATACAATTTACATTGTTACAAGTGAAGCTCAGCTGTGGACGTTTTATCGGTTGGAAAAACATTCCATTTATTATACAAAATGAATTATGAAAAACATCATTTTGAGTAAAAAAATTTTTAAAATAAAATAGTAAAAGTAAAATGATTTATATAAAATATATTTTTTTTTAAACTACAGGTTTAGAAATAAAATACAATACAAAATAAATCATATTTATATATTTATAATTAATGGTGGAGTTAGCTATCTAATACTATACAGAATTCTGTGATTACATATTATCATATTATGAGTTCAATGTAATAACCTAATCTTTAAATATTTAGGATTTAGATATCTATAATCATTATACATAGACCTAAATAATTGAAATAATTAACTATAACTATTTATATTCTATTTAACCACATAACACATAATATATTTTAAATTGCCAAATATGTTTTTATGTGTTATTGGTATACCTAGGTATTCTAATATTGAGTACCTAATCAAAATCTTGTAGTTTTGTTCTGTATAATTTCTGTATTCTATATATTAAATACTAATTAAGTTTTACCGCCTATTTATTTAGGAAGAATGTATTTGTATACCTACATTTTGTTTTGTAATTGTATTTGAAAACTGAACTTAATAGTATTTTTCGAGTTTGAAACTGATTAACTATTACTTAACTGAATAACTAATACAATTCACATTTAAAATTTTTAAATACAATCAGTTATATATTAGTTATAGGTATACTTATATTAGTTTTAAAATGTATGTAAGGAATATTATAATTTTTTTTACTATCTTAAATATTACTTTTACATATTACAATATAATAAGATTTATTTGTGACTGGGTACCTATGTACATTAATGGTAATAGTTCCGACCTACGCATAAAATATGATTAAATGAGAATAAACTACTGTAGTAAAATATAACTATTTTGATGTTTTTACCACCTAGGTTCTAGTTTTTAGAATAATGAATACAATACATTGTGATTTCAAAGATATAAACTGCTTTAATCTAAAGAATATAATCAGAAAATAATACGATCGTGTACCTATAATACCCGCTTGTTAAAAAGATTAACATTTTATGTTCACAGATCTGTGATAAAAAATGTCTATTTATTTAAACAATTTAATCGTTGGTTTAAAAGTGTTCTATTTATATACCTATAATACTTCCTTTATCGTACAGTTATGCACCGTGATTATGGCCGCCGAAGATATTTTAATACGTTGTTAATCTTAATCCTAATAATAGTAAAATGAATTATCATAGGTAATAATATTATGTATTTATTTTCGTGTCAAATGTTTTATGGGCCTATACAATATAATTTCATTAATGAATCCGTCACATAATGGATCAACTCGATTTTGTTTGTTACGTAACTGTAACAATTGTCCACGAGAAAAAAAGAAAACAATTGGTCATTCAAACACGAAAGAAAAATGTACATATTATTATAATGTTTCAATCGTTTATTAGACATGCTCGCGTAATGAATAATTTTTTCGTCACCTCCACGGATCATCTGTCCCTACCGTTGCACTTTCCCCGATCACTCGATGGCTTCGGTGTACTGACTTCGCTGTGGTCGACCACTCGACCGTGACCAACACGCTATTATTTTATTTACACAATTTTCACCAAACAGACACACATAACATAAGAATTCATTATACTTTGTACAAATAAGTATGTTAACGACCGAGTTTATTTATTATTGGTTATAACCCAATTTAATTTGTGTATAAATTAAAGCGACATCGGTTGATTGTCGTATAATATTAATATATTATTTTCAATAACAATGTGTGCCCATCGTATCATTATGTTATATTTATAAAAAAAAAAAAAAACCAAAATCAAAGACAATAAGCTGTCACTGGACACTTGAAAAAAAAGTAAATAATAGAACAATAACGCGTTAGGTATAACAATGGTCACTCGCGAGGTTAATAGATACAAATGTAAATATTCGCACAAGATGATTTTTAGTGCGAAGAGATAACATATTGTAAGGAGTAAGAAAAATTATACACTTGGTGTACGAATTTTATTAATTTACGAGTCTACAGTTGAATATATTAATCATATCATAACCAGGGCCGTCCCGAAGGGGGGTTTTAGGGGGTGTCCCACCCCCCTGAGCGTATAATATGTATATGTCAGTTGGCACATTGATACCTACATTAAGTATTTGAGTTGGGCAGTTGGCACTCGGCAAATTATAATTTTTTTTTACAGTTTTTTAATAATTTTGTATATACTACTAAGTCCAAATATATCATAATAATATATTGTAATTTATAATAATATGAAGGTATTATAAGTTAATTTTCCGATTGCCAACTGTCCAACACAGTTAATACTATTATAATATTTTAGACTTTACCTATCAATGTATCGCATATATAATATTATAACAGTATACAAAATTGCCTATACATATTCGAATAATCACAGAATATATGAAATTTCATAATATATTATATTCTGTCATATAATCATTGAATTATTTTTAATAAAGCTGTAATGATAACTGATAAGGAATTGTGCGCTGATTTTAAAAACCATCATCGTAAAAGATTAGCTCCTAAACGATATGATTGTAATGCCACAACCCAAGCTGAATTCACAATGCATCTATTTTATAGAAAAGAATTTAAAATGGTTCTAGATACCCTATTAAAACTAACAAATGATAATTTAAAATCATGTATTTCTTCTATTCAACCATTATTTACTCAACCATTTAATAAAAGCAATATTTCATTTCTTTGTTCCCACCAAGCAGTGTAGGTGCTTACCTTCTAGATTATGATTTAGTTCAAACAGAATTAGAAATATTATTTAGTATGTTACAAGAAGATAGAACATTACCATTTAATTCTTTAATGGAAAAAACAGAAGAAGTAAAACATATTTTACCATGTGCTAATCAAATTTGTCGTTTAGCATTGACTTCTCTTGTAACAGTCGCATCAAACGAAAGATCTTTTAGTAAACTAAAATTGATTAAAACCAGTGCTCGAATTGGGGGGGGGGACGCAGGGGGACGGAGCTCCCCTTCAAATTTTAATTTTTTTTAGCGTACCCCTTCTTATATTTTTAATTTGAACGGGGGGACGGTACGTCTCCCGTGTAAATTATTATTGAAAAACTTATAAAACGTTTATTTATAGATATTTATTATGTATTATCAATTTGAACAAAATATGCGATAAATTGTAAATTTCAAAAAAAAAATTTCATAAAAATCAAAATATATAAGATAATTTATTATTATGATCACGGACCACAGACTATAAATCTTAGTCCGTGATTATAATACAGGCTTACAAATTATACTGATATACTAATAATGTGTATAAATAATGTATATTATATCGAGATTAAAATTAAAAATTCATGTTATCGGATGGTCGGTAACACTGTAAACAGTACCTATGTAGTTCATAATATCTATATCTAATAATAATTATAGCATTATTGTTATGCTCATTAGTTGAGGTCGGTTTTTATCGATTATTGTTTAATTATAACATTTCTTTTTGTACCCTACTGCAGTACTGCTTATCAATTGTATAATATATAAGATCTACGAAGACTAGAATATTCTTGTATTCATGATAAAATCTATGACTGCACTGCCATCCACAAGAGAGCTATGGAATATATTAAAAATTTAAAAATTAAAATAATGTATAAAATATCTTAAAATAAAAAAAAGATTTGTTTGTAATTTAATAATATTTATTTATTGTTGTAGTGTAACCTTTGTTTAATTTTAATGATTGTTTGATTTGTGTTGAAAATACTGCATGGGGGGTGTGGGGGGCGAAGCCCCCCACGGGTTAGTTTGGTTTAAATCATTGAGTGGAACGCTAAATTTTTATAAGTCCTTTAGCACCCCTTCTATTATATTTCCAATTCGAGCACTGATTAAAACACATCTTAGGTCAACAATTTCTGATGAGAGATTAAACTCTTTAATTGTATTGGGAGTAGAAAAAGATATTGGTGACCTATTGGATATAAATAAAATAGCACATCAATGGTCAATTTTAAAAACCGACGTATATAAATTTAGTGTTAAGTTTATTATAATATTATTTTGTTGATATAATAAAAGAACATAGTAAGAACATAATAAAATATATAATATTGTATAACATTTGTCTACTGACTACTATGCATGTAGTCGCAGGTAGGAGGTAATTGTCGAGCGAAGCGAGAAAATTTTTTTTTGGAGTTGGCAAATTATGAATCAAACCACCCCCCCCCCCCATGATTTGTCTTTCGGGACGGCCATAATCATAACATTACAATATCTATATATTTTCTCATCTAATCTTCCACAACATGTACGAGGTCTAAAGGATACAACGAAATTCAAAAATCTAAAACTGCATTTGATATAGTATAATATGGTAATGGAATACCATAAAAAAAAAAAAACTGAGAGTAATTATTACAATATATTTGATTAAATACTTCGATGAAGCTAATTACAATTTAAACGAGTAGTTGTCTAAATGCAAATTTATTAAATAGTCACAGTTAATATCCGCCACATAATATATTTTTAAAATATTACACACATTGTCTTAATATATTCAAAGAAAATCATTAATTTAAAGCTGTTTAAAAAAAAATATGATAATAATGTATAGTTTTTTAATGTTATAACTTATAAGCCAATGTTAAACTCAACAAAACCGTTTTGTTCAGAATAATTTTAGTACCTACCATTTAGCAAAAGATTTACTATTCCACGAAAGCTTCCTAAATCCTAATGGATATTCAAATTAAACTATTAAAAATGAGCATATTATATTATATACTATGAAAAATAATTGTTTTTAAATACATATACACACTACTTTCAGACATAAAGTTATATTTGATATTTTAATATAATTGTGCCCTGAAGTGATGATACGAGTTTTAAATTACATAATACCTGTAATAATGTAATTGGTACCTATGTTAGAGACAAATGTTGATTTTAGAAGATAATAATAATATTTTAATAATTGAAGACTTTTTATATATATATACTAACTAGTTGAGTTTATACATATTATACCGAGTGATTCATTTAACGTAGGAGTGTAGGACACTCCTTATGTTAAAACTTAAAAGTATAAACATTTTTAAAAACTATTTTTTATCTAAATCATTTTTTTTCAATGATAACATGCATTTTTAATTCCTTATTCCAATATTATAATTTAAAGACTTTCCTCTGCCACTCTCACACCCAGAAAGTTAAAAAGGCAATGGTCCAAGCATAATAATATTAACTTATTACTTATAAGGTGCAGGCATCGCTGGGAGCCTTCCTATTCTTATCTTAAACGACAAAGTCAAATTTGTCACCAGACTTATTTATTAGTTATTATACCATGTTTGTATGGATTGTAAAATAAATATATACTGTTTTAGAAATTAAAAATATATTTATTTAAAGCTACTAACAGTTTAGTTTAAACTACATGTCTGAAATTTGATTTTTATAGATCGAAATACTTAAAAATAATATTTTACTTGGAATATCAAACTAAAAATGTATGTTGTCATTCGAAAAAAAGAAAAAAGTTAAAAAATAATTGTTAAAAGTGTGGTTGTAACGACTTATAATTATGTATAAAAAAAAAGATATTACTGGGTTTTCAAAAACTTAGGTGTTTTCTGAATTAATGAGTGTTTTAAGTTAAATTGATCACCCCATATAATATATTATAATAAATTAGTGTATAAAAATATATGTGGATCGATTAGGTATAGTTTAATTTAGAGTTATTATCTAACTCTGAAAAACTAAGAATCTTTAAGAGGACGCCACACCCGTGCAGTATATGTTGTCTCCATCTTACCAACGTACAACAGAAAATTTGTTTTCAGCCGTTCCAATTTTTTGTAGTAACGTTTAATAGTAGAGTTAATTGATCTATTATTAATCTTAAAGGTATGTAAATTATAGGAGTTTCATATAAGTTTTTTTACGGTGTTTTGAGTTATGCGAGAATGTCTAAATTGTTATATTTTACGTAGGTATATAGGTATACTCTGGTAGGTACTCATAAATTGCTTAAAAAAGAGACTACTGTACCTATGTATAAATGTATAGGAAATAAATGGAAATAATATGTACAAATACCAACATAATGTTCCTAAAAAAAAAAAAAAAATGTTAAATGGGTGTAATACGAGCACGAAAAAAGTATTTCAATTTTAATGAAAAGAGTGTAATTATTAGTGTAACTACCTATTCACAACCGGAATTGGAAATGACAATAGTAATGTTATTTTCGTTAAAGACGAAACAGTACGTATATATTTTATATTAACGTATACGATACTATCTAGTATTCTAGTATCTATATACTATCCAGTATTTGGTCATGCTCATAGAATTAACGTTATAGAAGCCAGAATAAGGTACAACAATTGAAATGACAACGACAGAATGCTTTATATTCCTCATAAGTCATAATCAAAATGTCAAAAACCTGTTATAATGGTATTCCATAGAAAAACTGGTATTGAACTCGTGTATAAAAATGCATATTATAATATTATTATTATATTATATTAATTCACGAATTTTGTAATTTAGTTCAGCTTCAGACCATGGAGTGTGATCGAGGGGAGGGAAAGGGGGCCCTATCTATAACAGTCAATTATACGATCAGAATAAACTATTTTACAACAGTTTTCGAACGCTCGTAACTTGTTTTAAAATACAATATAAATAAAAGCCTACGTGGGTCCTAAATAATAGTCTTACCTTCAAATTGCATAATAGGTCAATTCACTATAATATTAAAAACAACAGAGTAAAATGGATTATTCTGAACATACAATTTGCTCTGACGCTAATTTATACGTTAGTATAAAGCAGAAACCACATATCATGTGGGTACGACGTCCTCTTAAAACATAATTATAAAAGAAAGTATATATTATTTAAAAACATTAATAGGCAATTTAAAACTATATAGGACATAGGTATATACTAACCATTTAGTATGCAAAAACTGAGTTTATACTTTATACCTTATTAGTTTTCACCCTCTCCATAAAAATAGCTACGAGGACACCCCGGGTTTAGATGTAATTGTCTATTTTAAAAGAACTATAAAAACATAATTAAATAAATTTAACTTGTTAATTTTTCTTGTTAGAATTTTATGTATCTAAACATGTTTTATTATCCAAAGTGATATTGTAAAAATTAGTATAATAAGTAACAGCCAATTTGATATTCAAATTAGAGTTAAAATATGTCGACGTAAAATATCTTTTAATCGGACGTGTCTTTAATAATTTAATCTCAAAACGTATTTAATTTCAACGGATAAAAACGAAATCAACTCGTATAGAGTGCCTTCTAAATCTTTGTAAAAGATGATTTTATTTTTAATCTATTATATCGAGTCAGTGCCCAGTCGTGGTTAATTTTTAGGTTTATAAGAATTCAAATTTGATGTATATATATATATATATATATATCGAAGAGTAACTAGAGACGAACCATTATTTCGCGGATACCATTGTGCCTGACCACTCATCCGCTCAACTGAAATTCAAATAAATGTTTATAACCGATTAAATATATTAACAACTGCGATGGTATCTCATTTGAAAAAAAAAATGATTACTATTACTCGAACATGTTGTGTATTATTGTTAACGACTTCAAATGGTGTAAAAAAATGTTTATTCATAAACGCGGAAATTTACCGAGAAAATGGCTGTTTCTGTATAGTGATAAAATAATCTCACCTTGGTCCTTGGGTATAATATTATGTTATATACGACTCGGACATAACACCGGTCATCAACTGTATATATACAAGGTATGAAATACACAAAATCCTAACACTCATACACGGTGCATAATATACGTCTTACACGCACGTCATACAGGCGATGATGTTGTTTTGATATATAGATGACGTCTGCCATCGCTTTTCCGAGGAAAATGTTCGCTATAAGACGTGATATCATTATACTCGTCGTCCGTGTAACAATCGTAACGCATGCCGCAAGAAAGGCGCACCCACCCGCCGTTAAGTCGTCTATTCGAGGCGTATAGGTTACCGTGAAATCGGGCGCAAATTTTTTCCCAGGTATATATTTTTATTATTATTATTATAAAATAACATAATACAATGTACGGTGTACGGTATTATACACAATGCCGCCCGGGTACACAATAATAAATAAATGATATTATTATTATACGCGGACGACGATGGTCTATAATACTCATCAGCTGCCTCATCGGAGATATGTCATAAACTACTCGTACCCAACAATATAATAACGGCGACAAGACCGAATGGTAGTCGCCAATGTTAGCAGAAGGTGTCTGCGGACGACGAAACGGTACAAATCGCTGTGCGCAAAACGATAATATGATATCAATTATTAAGTAATAGTAACCGTGCGATGCACACGTCATATAGGTGCACACAATATAATATCATGATTGTCGATGTACATCAAGTTAACATATTAGGACACGTAATTTTCGTTAATATTGTTATCACTCGTAAATAACTATAGTCTATATTGTTAATAGTTGTTACGTTGTGCATTTATTATATAATTGTGTTAAATACACCCATCTCGACTCTATAAAGTGGTGCATAATATGCAGGTGTACACATGAATGGTGGTGGATGATTTAACGTTGGGTGAAATAAGGCATGGAGATTTTTTTTAATATTTTCTCGTAGGCACATACAATAAAATACTAGTGGTACGTCTGGTACCTATATAACGTATTATAATTTATATTGCTCATCTATACAGTCATCTATTATACGTCCACGAATGCGAGGTCGTTATTACAACTTTTCTCTATTTCGATATCGCATACCTTCTGCCTATTCCATATTCGAGAACACATAGGTTAGGTTTTTTTATTATATTTTATAAGCGATTACACTATATAATAATATATACCTGGTGGTCAGTTCAGTACTTGATGGCTGTTATATAATATATGAATAGATACACTTGTTTAAAGTATTTATTTATGTTGATCAAAAAAGTAACGTCCCAAAGTAGAAGCTAATCGTGCAGGATATTAAGTAAATTAAATTTGACCAAGGGTAGTATAAGAAGGGTGGAATAAAACGCCCAAGGGCGGAAGGAGTCAAACACGAACAAAAGGGACGCCGGTTTAGTTTCACCTGGCATGACGTTAGCCTGCAGGGTTTGGGACGAGTTTGGATATCTGTGCGACCTCATGAGGTGGGAGGGGGGGAGATAAAAACCTAATATTGAACATTTGTGAAAAAAATTGTTCACCTTCAGTTTTGTTTGGTACTATAATTGCTTCAGTTTCGTAAGTGTAATACTTTATTTAATTTTATTTTTAGGTATTTAAATTGACTTATAAACATATTTAATGTACGATTGCCAATTTGTAATCAAACAAATTACAAAGAGTAAACTTAATATATATATATATATATTATATATTATGTGTGGTTAAATTAACATTGGAAAAATATAAATATTGATAAGCTTAACAGTATTATTTATTTATTCATATTCATGAATACAAACAAAAATAAAAATTTAAGTTTGACAATTTAATTCGATTTAATTTTAATACGATTCAATTTAGCCATATTTAATAACAATCCTACATTGAACCTAAACATTACCAATTACTTATTATATTGTTATATCGTTTTGAAACCAGAAAATACTCTATGATGGAACACATCGTTCTAATATTATTATGCCGTTATTATAAGATGTGCACAGCTTATAATATTATGTATTAATTATTTATTAAACAAAAATTATGCAATGTTGTAATACGTACGTTGTTGATGAATATGCCACAGTAATCAGTCGATCCTTGGGTGGCCAACAGGTTGATGCCGAGCGTAGTGAGCTTGGTGCCATTCCCGTAACTCAGACAACCCGACGAACGATAGTCTCTAGCGTGCACGGCACCTGTGGGAAACGAGACGATTTTTTATATTTTTTAATTATAAAATTATTATTTCGATTGACGTTTATGATGCGTTCATTGCGTGGGTACGACCGGACCTCGAACACTGTTCTTCTCTAATATAGATCATACCGCCTGTTGTCAAGTGTCGGTATCTAATTATTACATAGGTATTAGGTACTAGGTAGGTATATTATATCGTTAACAAGTAAACAACACACGCATCCGAGTAAGTATATCCAGTTAAACGAACTTTTCGCGGGAGGGTAAAATAAGTTTTTTAACTTAACTTTATATTGTGATTATTCTTGCCGAATTAAGGATAGTTTTTTTGGTGGGGGGGGGGGGCATAATTTGATCGTGGTTATTATAATATTATCAACGATAATCTCAAGAAGATTTAGAATTTCTTTCTTGTGAAAGGAAGGTGCAGTGCAGACAAAGGCCCACACAAAACTTTTTACCTCTCACCTCCTAACCTTTTTATCAACAAATAACTTCTACTATTTGTTCTTTACACAATTCTTAAATTATAGTCAAGAGTTAATGGTAATATGGTATACTTGACTAAACTAACTTACTAATACACAATTGTATTATTACTATATTATATTTACTTACAATACAACTATACAATATACTTACATAATGACTGAGTCCTTATATTTACTTATTATAAGTGAATATTAAACGGTTATTGTTCTTCATTGAGTTCTTAATAATTATTACGTAAACGATATTTTTTTATTTTAGTGTACATAATATTATAATCTATATATTGGTTGAAAGATTTATTTTCATTAGTTAAATCTATGACTTAAATTTGAATTATTTAATAAGTTAAAGAGTAAAATAAAGCTTAAACTTAATTTGAACACAGTTAGCTTTAAATACATAATATAGCTATTACGCCTATTATATTATAAATAATGACGTACAAATTGATGGTTAAATTAATTTTTTTCAAGCAGACAGAGGGGCTAGTGCGAAGCACGTTTCAAATTTTAATATACTTACATGCAAATATTTTAAATATAGGTAATAAGTAATAACTTATGATTTGATAATGGCTACCTACTATAATGATATTGAAATTAAATTATAAATATTGGAAATAGATTGCAAGGCGAGGAATGAATAACTTAAAAATTAGAAAACTATGAAGAGATAAGTCATTTTTTATTTTTATTTAAAAAAACATAGCTTGACAAAGCGAAAACGATATCTGGTTTAGATCTTATCTATATAATAATAGTTCTTTAGCTTAAAAACAATGCAAGAAATTGAATGCGGAAATTACAAAGATTATATTAAAATATTTAGATCCCACGAAAAAGGCGTGGAAAAAAGTCCTTTGTGAAACTTGATGTTAAGGAGGTACCTATATACTTACTATAGAATCATTGGTGTCAAAAAACAATAAAACAATGAAAGTATTGATTATTGGTTCACACCTTTCTAGTCAAATAATTGTATACAATTTAAACTACATAATTTTCTGTTAATGTGTATTGTGTATACTGTATAGATAATAATTTTGGTATGACGCACGCGCATAGTATACAAATATATTACTTAATTATTAATAAGTACGGTTCAGATATAGCCACGCTAGGTTGTAATAATTTAAATTTGAAAACAAAGATAAAATTATTAACTTTGTGTCTGTGTATAATAAACGATACTGCGATACATATTATGTGTTAAGTGTTAACTAATTTAGGTATTTTTGGTCGGATATCAATATATATATGGACATGATATTATTAAAATTGCATTTAAATGCATCCATAATGAATCCATAAATGAACTAAATTGCATAAATTTAACAACTTATAATACAAAATATTAAAATAGAAGTAAAATTAAATGATATGCGAAGACTTCAACTGTGCATTACAAAACTCAATATCATCTGACTATTTGAATCGAATAACTAAAATGTTTTATGCATAAAAACGGGTCTGCAACTTAATAAGAAAATTAAAAAATAAATATCCTATTAATAACCATCTGCGTTAAATAATTTCCAATTGATAATTATCCTCCACGTACCACTTTTAAAATCACAAATAATTAGAAAAAACTAATACGCTAACCACTCCGGTTGGAATAAAAAACTATGCCTACAATATTCTAGAAAATCAAAAATAATAGGACATATAAAATGTATATAGGTACCTAATGTGTGAAATTGCAAACATGTGAGTATTACAAATTAAATGAATTACAATGCATTATGGTCGGTATTTTGTATGTATATATATTTTATAATAATGGACATAGGTACTTATTAATTACCTATACCCATATAATATTATATAGCATAGGCAGGTGCTAGGGAAAAATTAAATATATACATTTATACATAAAATAATTTATACTCTATAGTTTCTATATAATATAATAAGTTTTTTTAAATATTTGTTTAGTGATTAATAATTGTTATGGCAATCAAAAAATTAAATAAAAATAATAATGTTAATAAAAAGTGATAGATACCGGTTGGCAGTTAATATGATTATTGAAATATAAAATATATAATAAGCATTTTAGATAAAACACATTTGAGGGGTTGGTGAGCGTAGCCTTTAGTTGGCTATATCGATGGCGTAGCGCACAAGTGTGATAAGTGACATTTTTTTGAAAAATGAATTAAGTGCATAATCAATTTAATCATACAATTCTGCACATTATGCCCAAACGTTGTAAGTGAATAGTTCATTATTTACTCCGATAGATGTAGTACAGTTCGTTACATTTTTGAATTTGTTACAACATCTCAAACTTAAAAATCGTTCTCCTCAACAATTACGAAAATGTCACTTATCACACTTGTGCGCTACGCCATCGATATAATATATATTCCGTACATTTATAATTTAATATGGTCTCATTTAATTCCAACTAGATACTTACTTATATGTACTTAAATTTTGAACACTGCAATATATTTTATACATTTTAAATTAGGAAATTTGAATTATTTATTATACTTTTATACTCAAATCTCATTGATAGAATTTTCGTTTGTTCTTTATATTTTATTGTACACACGTATTATTATAATATAAATACATGTTTTTAGATAGAAATATTTTGAAAATCATTATTTATTTTTTCGCTGAGGTCGCGGGAAAAATACAACAATAATATGGCCTCGTCAGGGATTTTAAAAAGACATTATTTTTAAAAGACAACACTGTAGGTAGGTATATTGTTAAGTTCTATTCATTATTGACAAAGCAGAAGGATTATAGTGACACGCGGCCTTTGGTCAAAACGTAGTAAACACGTAGTTTTGGTTTGTACTCAACATACGCATTATAATAATATTGAACCGTCCGATCGGTTTCGTAATCCAATATCTAATTTCCGATTGTAAAGACTAAAGGTGTGCACCGCATTCCGTGCCATGTTTAAACATATTTTATGGCCAGTTGTTCATAACAGAGGACGTGGGATTCGAAGGTAGCAAAGCAGCCAAGTAAAAAAAAAAAAACATTCTTCATATGTTATCGTATGTAAAATATTGTAAAGTATATTAGTACATGCATTTTAAACACCGTACAAATACTTGTATCGTTTGTTGTTACTTTATACTGCGTTTAAAGCGATTATATTATTCTACACTAATGGTTTTTAATGTTTTTTATCGAGTCAGTTTTAATCATTTAAAATAACTGTCGAAGATATATTAACAAGATATGAACTACAGTTTTGATAACATGTTCACTGAGAAATACGTTATTTTTATTCATACCATATTTTTATAGGTACCGCAGGTACCTAATATTTTTAAATGTTGAACTGAATTATTTTCAAAAACGAAATACCTAGATGACATTAGGTACGGTACCTATGCATCAATTTAATATGCACTTTTATTTATTTTTGTGACACATATATTATACTATATGGGACATTTTCATTTGACACAATGTTGTTTTTTTAAAAATAACGTGACTTCTTGTTTGCATACCATATGTTTTGTTGAAGATAAAATATACATAATTTACATTACAATCGAATACAGTAACTCGTGCCCTTAATTATCGTGTAATTGGCTTATTAAAACGGTCGTGTAGCATGCAACAGAGTAATTATAATTGAATAAACGTAAAAAAAAAAAACAAAAACAATGTCAACTAACCAACAAAAGGCTGGTTGGTGGTGACTTTAATCGTCATGTACCCAGCTTTGCATGTCGCAGTAACGGATGGTATGAACTCTTCTTCCACGAGATTTTGTCCATGGTTAATATGCTGTAAAAAAAAAAAAACAAACAATAAACACATGAAATAATAGTAAAATACGTACAAAAAAAAATATAAACATAATAACATGATGTTAGGTAGTATTAGTGAATATTATGTGGTGTTGGCGGTATCTTATAAATAAATTAGATTTAAATTTGGCGTTCAACCAGTAATGAATATTTATTCACATTTTACGTAATGTGGCAATTTAAACAGCGTTGAATTCGTTTATATAGTATAATATTGCAGTGATTAAACCGATGAGATATTATACATTATTCGTTTGCTTAAGTTTCGTCAGCTATTTTGAATATTATGTTTAAGTCTTTGTTGAGTAACAGTCACCCGCGGTTAAAAAATACCATAACTGTATCTTCGGAGTTTCGGGCCACAATGCATATATGAGGGCGTATTGTGAATTGATGAGGCTGTTGTAAGACCAGATTTTTTTGTTGTTGTAATACATGCATGGGTATGCATACACAAATATTATATATATATAGGTGGTACTGCGTACCTATACATATATACCAGGACTTCGAGGTCAAGGACCTAGATACCGATAAAGCACGATTAAACAAAAATAAATACGATGATGATTTTGGCGTGTTTCGGTCACAGACGAAATCGTGTCGGCCGTTAGCTAATCTGCCAACGTTGCAGACTCGGCATGTGTACACGGCTTGTATTATTATGTGTACGTATATGCGCAAATCTCTAATATAGTATATCTGTATATATATATACATACCTATATGCACACATAATATAATATAAACACATGTAATATACATATAATAATGTACTACTACCTATTGTGTGCGCGTACTTAAATGATATTTTGATGTATACATAATATGCGACGGATTACTCAATTCGCGCGTATCAAAATGCGTTTCGTATTATATTATTATCACATCAGCGCAGCGTTATTCCGCTCGATAAAAAAATACCAATGAAAAACTCATCATACGTTGATAACAATACCTATCTACCCACAGCTGCAGTACACAGGTGTCTACATACAATAATATATTGGATAATAATTTTACAGAAGACGCCGCCGTCGTCCATGTCTCCATGTCGTCGTCGTGAGCGTGCGGCCTTGGTACACACCTGCTGCACACTATAATAATATAATATACAAACTCAGCTTGCGAGCAAAATCACACACACACACACACTATCTCTCGCGACTTGGTTGACCACCATTTAAGGTTTGTCCGCGCGGCGAACTTGTGTAGGCGCGCAGACTTGTTTTAATGGTCACGAGGGCGCTGCCGCCTTATATTATATTATTATTATTATTATTGTGTACAGCACACGCACGTGCGAGATACGACTTGTCGGGGTTAATTTTATGCGTTCCTTTTATTCCGCAGATATATCGTTTAATATATATATATGTAATATGTACTATATAGGTATAGGTACGTGATGTGCAGCGATGGGCCGCAGTCGACAGCAGTGGTCGTAGATAACAACACGATACCTATGACGATGCTGTGCCGTTCGTACGGTTTATTTCAAACACACACACTCAGATTATAATAAACCGGGCTAATTACGAAACTGGCTGTATATAGGTACCTATACGACCTATGGCGTGACGAACGAAATACTACAATATAATATAGGTACGCGTCGCACCCCATCGCGATCGTTAATTAAAACCGTCTTTTAGATGCGCTTAATTAGACCACTCGTGTGTTTTTTTCGCATACATATAGATATATATATGCGTGCGTATAATGTGCAATACATATATAATATATACATGTGTGTGTGTGTGTATTAAGTGGTGTCGTGAATCTTAAAATCATTATACGTATATTTAATAATATGCATTATAATATAGACTGAGAGATTATATTATTGTAATGATAATATGTACATGACACTGCAGCCTGCACAAGAGCCAAGTCGCTGCTGACTGTGCACGCCGACGCCGTATGTATGTATAGGTGTGAAATATGATGTATATAGGTATATACCCGTACGCGATAATAGCCTGGTAATCAGTAACCGATAGGCGGTCCAAAATGATTTGATTTTTTTGTTTAATGTACATCAATCACTCGTGTGCCGAGCTCATTATCGAAAATCTTTCCAGCGGCTTGTCAATATTATAATAACGTATATAAGTACTGAACGAGTGTACAGTATAGGATCGTATCCGCTACAGAGCTCGGTCCATCGTCAATATAATAATATATAACCGTCACTAATAAGGTAGGTACACAAAATAAGACGGTGGGCCCGTTGTAAGAATCGACCGCGGAGAGTATTAGATATATAGATACGTAGGTACAGACACATGAGTAAAGATCATAAATTATGATGGGAAGAGCGATGTGGTCAACGATGGAATTCTCAAAGTCACGATAGTTAATAGATAAGTCGTTCAAGACTAATAATAACATAATATATTATTAGTATGTATATCTTTTGTTCTGTATACACATAATATTATATAGCTATGCTACAATTATAAATAATATAAAAAGTGTTCGTAAGACTTGAGCCGGAAATCGTTCGTGTATAAGGAAACCGTTATGATCACGTCTTATACGTACCTATATGTAAAATACATAAACGTGAGTAATGTGAGTTAAATTCTTCCAATACAACATAATAATATTATGTAGGTAGTAGATCTGTGGGTACCCGACTCATATATCTATAGATACCCCATACTATATTATTTTATTTATTGGAAGGTACCTATAGGTTAAGTTACCTATAAACCTACAAGACAATAACATAAATACATAGGTATTGCGGTGTTTTAAATAACACCGACAAATAGATAGTTATGAGAATAATACACCGGGTACCATGGTACATTATAATTCATAAATAATAAAAACGTAGGTATGACTTTTCCTTGTGTTTATATCATTACTTACTGCATTAAATCATATTATCTCTACATAAATATTGTACCTACTCTAATTATGATTATAATATAATATTAAAATGCGTAGGTATTCCTGTGTATTATAGTCTGCATTTAATATTATTAAATATTCAATAAAAAAAAAACAAAATATTAAGGTATAGGTATTTTTTAAAAAATTTGAGTGATATGCATTAGGATTTTTTAATCTAATGAAATATTATATTCGTTATTTATTGAAATGTACAGAATGCACGTCATAAAATAGACCACTACGGCACTACCTACCCATAGTAATGTCATTCGCAATTATTGCTTGATGTGTAGGTATATAAGTAGTCGGTGAACACAATTGCATAAAGCATCTGATACATTATATTATAGTATCTATACAATGACTCCTTAAATGGAAAGTCCAAAAACGACTGTTGTCAGCAATTGCCCGGGACTTCTCTTTAACCTTGGAAAAATGAGTGAAAAACACCTTCCACGGTCATGCATAATTATTATTACAAACCATCTCATACATTATTATATTGTTCTAATGATACTCCGGTGTTCCTTAAACGGAATGCGATCACACAGCTGTATCACTCCGTATAATGAACTATATCTGTAGGTACATCATTAATATAATATAATAATATAATAAATATAATAATGCATAAAGAACGTAGGTAGGTACTGTCACGTGGAGTAATCGATCATTGATCAGGAATGCACGTTTCATTTTATCCAAACAACAATAATTTAATTATTATCAATCATTTTAATATATTATCATCATAAAGTAAATAATAATCAAAGAACAGGGTACCTACCTATATGTACACCTATATGTCACGCGCAACAGAAAAATGTATACAATATATTGTATTAAATATATTATTGTGTGTATACTGTATATATATTATTGACCTATACGAACGACACGTGTACCTAATGGCTAATCCATATTATACATATATGTGAAATGAAAAAAATTTATCAACGACCTATGTGTATATTTGAATAAAGTGGTAAAAAGGTTGATGAGAATATGATATATCTATATTTATTATTTTTAAAACAACACGATTTTATGACTAGTCATTTGTTTTCACTAAAATCACAAAATTATTTTTCACATACTGGAGGCTAATATTATTCCAGGTACTTTCAACATATATGATGGATTTTAAATCACTGTTTTAAAAACACTCGAGTAAATGGACGGTCGTGCGTTGTAGTATTGTGAGAAGCAGCAGATAAAAAAAAAAAAAAAAAAACTGCTACTTTACGAATGACAACCGAACATACACATCGACAGAATTGATTTATATTCCTTCGGTTTTAAAATATGTACATTTTTAGAAGCTAAAATTAAGTGAATGCCAAGTCCAGTAAACTTTACGTCGTTTACAGAAATAACAGCGACGGGAGCAAAAACCTCCGTGGAATTGTTTATTATTTTAAAATAATATAATATAATCATTACGCAGTCCACACAACGAAGATGGATCCATGTGTTGTTTTCAGTGTCAGACGTCACTACGTCAGTAGATTAATATTTATTTTATACATAGGTTCTCTTAATATAGTTACTATTATACATTTTGTTGTAGTTTGTACACTTTAGGAATTTGACAAATTTAATCGAATAAGTTATTTTAATAATGCTGTCGTACTTTTTTAATTTTTTTCCAGATACCCATCAAAATAATGCATTCAAGTCATCCTTTAAAACGCAGTAGGTGCCTCGAATAAATTATAAATATTATAAACGGTGACCGAGGAAATGATTTAAATCGTATTTACTGCATTTACTACTTTTTAAAACTAGTTTACTGAAATGTATTACTGTGTAATACGTTATTTAAACGAAAATTGTACCCATAGTATAATGAAAAAATCAAATAATACAATAACTTAAAAATGTATACATAGGTATATGAAGGTATTAGGAACTAATTGAAAAATAATACATACGTTAAACGTGTGAATAAAATGATTTTTGTTTTGAAATTCACAACTAGCAATGTTTTGTAACGTCGACCTTCATTCAATTGATACATTTGATTAGCCCGATTGTAAAATTGTATAATATGTGTGATATTTCCTACTTTCA